TCCTTGCTGATATTTCCATTTTACTCTCATTTTTCTTGACTTTCACTACATCTTCACTTAGTTCTTTTAGCATCATTCAGTTATTTAAGTCTAACAGATCTGCCATTAGGTCTTTTTTTCAGGGACAGTTTACGTTGATTTATTCTTCTCATTTGAATGGGCCACACTTTCCTGTTTCTTTGTATACCTTGTGATTATTTGTTAAACACTGGACATATGAGTCTAATAATGAATGTTAAGTCTGGAAATCAGATTCTCCTCCTTCCGCAGGATTTGCTGTGTTGTTGTTGGTTTTTTGACTGATTGTTGAAGGCTGGCTCTGTACCAAGGGTCAGCCTGGGATGTAAACTTCAGGTTTTCTCAGGTCTTTTCTGAGTGTTTTCCTGTGTATGTGTAGTCACTTTCTAATTTTCCCTGCATATGTAGTTGTTTCTTAATGTCTTAGTCTTTAATGTCTACCTTCCTAAAAGGGAAAAGGTGAAAAATGAAGGGTGGGAGGGAAGGGTTCTGGCCCTTTAAGTCTCCTGGAAATCATTTCAGCTGGAGGGGGAAAGGCTTATAACAATGGGGATGTGTTTAACAACAAGGGCTGCCCATCTCTTTTTCTGCACCTCTGCAACAAGAAGGGGCAATCAGCCATCAGAGTTCAGATCCTTGATATTTGGAGGACAGGGTCCTTTTTGCCTATCCTGGCTCCCGTAAAAGCTGCTCCAGGAACCTGGTGCACAGCTGTCTGTTTGCCATATGGCTGGAGGTGGGAATGGGTAGGTACTACTGTGCTAAGAACTGAAATTCACCCAAATTGACCTCCCCAGTTTTCTATTGGAAGTTGCAATACTTCCACAGACTCCATAGTTCCCTAGCTGTTACATCAGACAGATTATGCCAGTGCAAGAATGTTGTCTTGTCTAGGTGGGGAGACAGATTCCTGGTGCTTCCTATTCCCCCATCTTCCCAGAATCCTCTTCATTCTTAAACGTTTTTGAATCCACACATTTCAGTTATGTCTAGTTCCTGCAGCCCAATGTGGTCCCTTCCCAATTCCAGCACAGATGTTAATCAATTACTCCTAGTGTCAGGAGACATTTAATGTATTCCAGGGGTCAATGATCTCCTTTTTCTGTAAGGAGCCAGACAGTAAATATTTTTGGTTTTGTGAGCTACATACTCTCTGTCATGACCATTCAACTCTGCCACTACTGCTTGAAAGCAGTCATAGACAAGACGTAAATGAACTGAGTGAGGCTGCATTCCAATAAGACTTCATTTGTGGACACTGAAATTTGAGTTTCATATTATTTTCATGGGTTAAAAGTATTGTCATTCTTTTGATTTTTTTAATCATCCAAAAATGTTAAGAAGCAGGAAGTTCCCTGGTTGCCTAGTGGTTAGGATTCTGGGCTTTCACTGCTGTGGCCCGGATTCAATCCCTGGTCGGGGAACTGAGATCCTGCAAGCCATGCAATGCAGCCAAAAAATTAAAAAAACCATTCTCAGTTCATAGGCCATAACAAACATAGGCTGTGGGCCGATTTGGCCCATGGCCAAGGTTTACTGACTCCCGAGGCATTCAAAATACTTGGGGCTACATTAATGTTGAATAAATAACTTTCTCCCAAGAACAACAGAATGGTACAGTCGCCTTTTTTAATACTAATTAGGTTTAACAGTACTAGAAACCTTTAGTTAGATAAACTCAACACAACTATAGCAAAGTCAGTCTAAGGATCCTACAGGTGGAAGGGTTTTCAAAATCACAAGAAATGGCTGTCCATACTATCTAAACTCACCAAACATAATATAGTACTGGGATTTTCCATTCAGGTTCTTCTGATCCACGTCTGCAGGGAAGAGCTTAATGTAGCCCCCTCCACAGTCCATCTTCTGCTCATGTTTCACGGTGTACTGAATGATCAGAGTCTTCCCTTTATTGCTAAATGGTTTGAACCGTGCAGAGATGGCGTAGAATCGGCTATTTTGAGTGGTCTGCAGACCTTTAAATAAAAAGTACTCATGAAGGATTAGGAATGACACTGCTCGGCAATGCAGGGAATTACATGGTTGTCCTCCCCCACCCCTGATAATAAACCTTCCAACCATTTATGTTGATCCTGCACCTATAGCACATTTGTACAATGATATACAATGGGCATATCACTAACAGGCTCTCGCTGCCACAGAACTTCTAGTTCACATACTCATGTACATGTTTTTGTACTTAATATACCACTGTTAGGTCTTAAGTTATAAAAACACTTCAGCTCTAACTGACAAATATGCAATCTAATTATAGATAAAAGATTAATTTTGCTTCATTTTCCAAGGGGTAGGAATGTACAAGGAAGCTTTGTAACAACTGGATTAAACAATGGAACATTCTACTTCTTTTCCTTCTCATCTTAAAACAGCTATTTAAGAGACACAACGGCTGATGGAGGACAGATTGCTGATCTGGGGGGGAAAAAAGTGCTTCACTGCACTGGATGAGCTGGTCCTTGGGTGTCATCTGTGTGGTGGCTCTTTTTATGAAGATACCATCCTTTTGTCATCTGAATCTTCTTGTACTTTATAAATTTAGCTGTTCACTTCAAGACCAAAAACCCCTTTTCAGTAGCCAAAAGGCTCTGTACCAATTCCTTATCTTATACTGGAGTATAAAACAAACCTGACAAGGACCTACTGTATAGCACAGGGAACTCTACTCAATATTTTGTAATAACCTATAAGAGAAAAGAATCTGAAATATATATAACTGTACTGTACACCTAAGACTAACATATTATAAATCAACTATACTTAAATTAAAAAAAAAAAGACAAACCTGAAAACAGAGCCAGTCTTCTTATAACCTACCCTTCCTTGTAACATACTCCAGCCTCCATAACTGCCTATGCTGAGAGCCATCATTAATGAACCTGGCATTTTGCGTCAGTATGTCTAAGACTGAACTCACGGTTGACTCCTCACTCCCAAACCTCTCTCTCTCTCTCTCTCTCCTACATTCTTCCCCCACTCTTCCCTTTCTCAGGTGATCTGTAGCCCCTTCCCCTACCATCCAGGCAATTCCTAAGGCCATCTGACTCACCACCTCCCTCTGAGTCTCACCACACTCCTCAGCCACCACCATCACCTCTCACCCATCTCTGTCTGGTTAAATTCTATTGATCTTTCCATCCATGGCTTCTATGTTACGGTCCTGGGAGACCACAATGAAAGGGGTCAAATTAACCAGTATCCTCAGTGCCTTGCCTGTGTCTGCTCTCAGTAGACAAGTGCTGGAATGAATGAAACGCACAGAGTCTCAGGATTCCAGGTTGGAGGAAGGAAAAACATTGTGGGAAAAAAACAAATGACAACCCCGCTCCCTGTACAAGCTTCACAGACCACCTTGTTATTTTCACTCCATTTTTGCCATCACAGCCTGACAATTTGGAACAACGTGTATCCACAAAACAATGAAGGCAACACTGGAGTAACAGAGCCAAGATGGAAGTTGAGTGGAAGGTGGTAAAGAGGGAAATTTTTTAATCTAAATCAGGGGTTGGCAAACTTTTTTCTGTTAAGGCCAGGGAATGAATGCTTTACACTTTGGGAGCCATTCCTTCTCCATCCTAATTACTCATTTCTGCCTTTGCAGCCTGAAAGCAGCCATAGACTGTATGCAAATGAAGGAGCATGAATGTGTTCCACTAACACTTTATTTATGGACCCTGAAATTTCAGGCATTTCATTGAATTTTGTGTAATTTTTATGCATCACAAAATACTATTCCCCTTTCTATTTTTCTCCAACAATTAAAAAACGTAGAAACCACTCTCAGCTAACTGGTTGTACAAAAAACAGGCAGTAGAGGAGCTTTAGTTTGCCTACCTTTGATCATCAGGAATGAGAAGTCAGAATACAGGTTATCCTTGGTACTTGGAGACTACTGACTTGGGGGGGGGTAGGCCAGAAGGGAAGACTCTGGGGGTGGAGGTGGGGCCTGAAAACGTTCCTATCTTGACCTCGGTGTGCAGTTGTAAACACTCGTCCTATTGGACCCCCAAAGATCCGTGTGCTTGACGGCATATAACTTTTACCCTGTTTTTCTTTTTAACGTGAAAATAAAAATGAGAAGTACCTTCTAAACTTTTTCCTTCTGTAGGGCAGGACCCTCGGCTCTCCAAACCCATTTGACTAGTGCTTGTAAAGAGGGGGTATCTTGGTCAAGAAAAGAGAAGACAAAAAGACCCTACCCATGCCTGTTTCCCGACCTGTGAAATGGGTGTTAGGGCTGTGCCACACCTACCTTGAAAGGTTGCTATGGGGGTTTAACATTCACCTTGATTTTCTCACGATTCCTACACTAACCTTTGTCTTTCTCTTTATGACCATAAAATTTCCCGGACGAGAGTCTAAAATACCCAAATTGGGAGTCATTGGTGGACTGCACCCATCGGTTCCTCCAGCGCTCTGTTGGGGGTAAATAACACCGGTTAGGGCTGAAAACTGTTAATTTGGGTGGTGGGGAGAGTGTTGGGGTCCCTCGAGGCCTCGAAGCTTCGAGGTTTTGCCACCATCGATACCTCGGCGACAGGCGGGGGCAATGGCAACTTGGGCCATCCGTTGGGCACTGGGGTATGAGGGAGCTTAAGCCTCCGCCACCGGCGGAGCCCCTTCACCTCCATCTAGAAAGTCCTCCTGGAAGTAGACTGTGGCCAGCGCCATCCGCAGCACACAGACTGCCCACAGCGGGACACGAGCGGCGGCCATGGAGAAGGCGCGGCCACCTCTTCTCGTAACCGTCCCTTTGCGCCCAGGCGTCTCCGCGGCGCGCCGGGCCCTTCCCGGAACTACTCCCGTCATGCCTTGCGATTATGACCCGAGACACCATTGGGCCTTGACGCGCGGTGCACGCCGTGTCCCCCTTCAAACTACCATTCCCATGATGCCTCGCGATAGTGACATGGAGCGCTATTGGTCTTTGGGGCGCGGGGTGCACCGGAAGGTGTAGTCTCTTTCGCCCTGGCGCCTTTGCCGGGGTCAACGGTCCCTTCTGGCCCGAGGGTCCGGCCGAGAGCGGTGGCGGCGTCCGCGGAAGGACTTCGTGGGAGGAGGTTGGCGGGGTTGGCTGGGCGGTGGCCGGGCTTAATGCCCGGGCTCGGGAGAGGAGTTGCAGGGAAACGGGACGCGCTCCGGGGCTGGGCAGGTCGGGCGGCGGGAGAGCGGCCTAGCGCCTCATTTTCCTCGTCTGGGGCCCATGAGCGAGCGTGGTACGATGTGGGTCGCTCCAGGCCTGGGGGAAGAGCTCGATGGTCTGAGGGGCGACTGTGTTTTCAAATTTTGGTTTATTTATTTTTAACAACTTTATTGATAATTCATTTACATACCATACAGTTCACCCCTTCTAAGCGTACAATTCCCGTTATTTTTAGTAAATTTACCAAGTGGTGCAAACATCACTACCCTCCAGCTTTAGAACTTGTCAGTCACCCCAAGTGTCCCCTTTGCAGTCTATCTCCGCTACCACTCCCAGTCTCAGGCAACCACTGATGGGCTGAGTCTATAGATTTACCTTTTCTGGACAATCCTTATAACTGGAATTATACAGTGTGTGGTTTTTTGCATCATCTGGTATTTTCCCTTAGTATGGTGTGTTTGACGTATATGCGTGTTGTGTGTGTCATTATTTGTTCTTTTTTATTACTGAGTAGTATCTCATTTATGGATGGACCTCAGTTCTCATCCATTCACTAGTTAATGGATATTTGGGTTGTTTCCACTTATTGTCTATTATGAATAAGAACTATTATGAACATTTGCTTACATTTCAGGTATCTTGGGCTTCATGGGAGTAGAATTGCTGGATCATAAAGTAATGATGTTTAACTTTTTGAGGAACTACCAGACCGTTTTCCAGGTTGTCAGCTGCGTCATTTTATAGTCTCTTCCAAAGGGATATGAAGGTTCCAATTTCTTCATACCCTCCACCAACCATTTGTTATTTTCTGTAGTTTTGATTATAGCCACCCTTGTAGGTATGAAGTGGATCTTATAGTGGTTTTGATTTGAATTTCCTTCATGGCTGATGTTGAACATCTTTTCATGTGCTTATTGGCCATTTATATATATATATTTTTTGGTGAAATATTGGTTCACATCTTTTACCTATTGGTTTATTTTTAATTATGTGTTTTAAAAATACATCTATTTATGAAACTAACACAATATTGTAAATCAACTGTACTTCAATAAAAATTTTTTAATTAAAATATATATATTTTAGTTGTGGTAAAATGTACATAACATGAAATTTACCCTTTTAAACATTATTGATTTATTTTTAAAATTATCTTATTTTATTTTATTTATTTATTTTGGCTGTGCCGTGCAGCTTGTGGGATCTCAGTTCCTGGAGCAGGGATTGAACCCAGGCCATGGCAGTGAAAGCCTGGAATCCTAACCACTAGGCCACCAGAGAGAAATCCCTTTTTCTTGAAATTCTTTTTAAAAAAAATTATTTATTTTAATTAATTTTTTTATTAAAAAATTTTTTTTAAACCTAGGGAAACTTTCAGAAGAACTAGATGCCAGAAAACCTGGCCTGGTGGTCAGGCTTTTCCTCTGACCCACATAGTGCCCTGGGCCTTGCCTACAAAAATACTCACAAGGATAGCTGTTGATGTTGTTCCAGTGCTTTCTACTTCCCCTTCACCATGTCCTTCCAGCTAAAAGTTAGCCGGTTATGCAGGTAGTCCAAATACTGTCATTACTGCTATCTAAATTTTATTGTATGCTTATTCCATGCCCCACACTGAACATAGGAATCCTGTGAGGCTAATAGTTATTATTCCCTTTTTACAGATGAGCAGGCTGAGGCACAGAGTGGTTAAGTAACTTGACCAGGGTCACTCACACTAGGAATTCTGCACTGTTTCTTTTGGGTGTGATTTTTGATTCACTGACTCCTGTGGTCAGGCCTGTGCTGGGCACTTTTAGTACACGGGGTGGTTAAGATGGGGATGAGCAAGTAAGCACACTGGTCAGAGAAACAGACAGTAAAATAATAAAAATAATTCATTCTTGTACAGAATCTTAGGGGCTGGGTTAAATGCCTTGCACAAAATATTTGAACTCAGCTTTGAAAGGTATATAAGATGTATGGTAGCCAGGTTTAACAAATCAAAATACTGGACACCCAATTGAATTTCAGTTTCAGATAAACAACAAATAATTTTTTAGTATAAAAATATTTAGGGCTCCCCTGGTGGTGCGGTGGTTAAGAATCCGCCTGCCAATGCAGGGGACACGGGTTCGAGCACTGGTGCGGGAAGATCTCACATGCCATGGAGCAACTAAGCCCGTGTGCCACAACTACTGAGCCTGCGCTCTGGAGCCCGCAAGCCACAACTACTGAGCCTGCATGCTGCAACTACTGAAGCCTGCGTGCCTGGAGCCCATCCTCTGCAACAAGAGAAGCCACTGCAATGAGAAGCCCATGCACCGGAACAAAGAGTAGCCCCCACTCGCCGCAACTAGAGAGAGCTGCACACAGCAATGAAGAACCAAAGCAGCCAAAAATAAATAAATAAATAAATTAAAAAAAATTTGAACATTACCTTTTAGGATAAAAATATTTGGGTCATACTTATATTTCTTAAATTATTTGCTATTTATCTGAAATTCAAATAACTGGGTGTCCTGTATTTAGTCTGGCAATCCCAATAAGGTTGTTTTCCAAGTGGACAGAGTGGGGGGAAGAAAAGGCTTTTTGGGTTCTCACAGTAAATTTTTTGAAATAAAAGTAACAAATGGCCTTGCTAAAACATTCAAACAGTATGGAGCTGAGGCATGGTTGTGCATCTTTTCTGCCTCACAGATCATTATGCTGGAGACATTATCTTGCACACAGGTCTTCCCCCATTCCTTTTAACAGGTGCATAGTATTCCATTGTCTGCCTGTGGTCATCTGGACTTCATTGAGCCTGTATGGATGGGATCAGGATTCTGACGAGTACAAACAATGCTGCCAAGACATCCCTTGAACATACATCTCTATGGGCATTGTAGGGAAATTCCCAGACGTGGAATTGTGGTGTCACAGGGTCTGTGCATTTCACATTTTCATTGCTGTTGCCAGGTTCCTCACTAAAGGGCCTGCAGCAAACACACACCCATGCCATATTTTTCCATTTTTTTAGGTCTTTAAAGTCTTTTGAAACCTTGGTAAATCTTGGAGTGAATTGTTCATATTCCTTCAGGGGCACATGGGAACTCTGAGAATATGACGGAAACGCTGGCCCTTTTTCCCAGAAAACTGTACGCCAGCACACACATACAACACATGGCCGACCTTTGGTGGGGGGGGGTCTGTGTCTGTCCATAGCCCCCATCCCTGCTCCCAGGGCAGTAGTTCACAGACTGTAAGTAAAATAAGATTTCTGGGGAGCTCATTAAATATACAGATTGTGTTTCAACAGCTCTTTTTGAGAGAACTGAGGACACTTGGATAAAGGAGGAGACCAGACTTGGGGTGCAACTGGGTAATAGGACTCACTCGGAGCAGAGGTGGGGTAACTGGAGAGTCAGTGAAGCACTGTAGGGGCGAGTGGGACCTTTGGAATTGGCCTGAGCTTTGAATTTGGCTCTGTTACTCGCTGGCCAGGTGACCTAACCTGTGGAGGCCTTCATTTCCTTCCTCTTCTCTATGAAAGAGGCATGACAACGACCAACTCTCAGTGTTGAGTGAGGATTAAATGAGATACTATAGCTCTGAGCAGAGTGCTAGGCATACTGCTAGGCCTGAGAAGCACTGGCTCTCGTCTTTAATATGTAACGTGTCTCACTTAAGACCTGGCCTTGAACGGCATAGTTCAATGATAACGTACCAGGTGTCTTATTATTTTCGTTGCCATCATCGGGCTTGAAGGGGAGGCTCTGGCCAGATGGCAAAGGGGGATGTGGCCTCTCCCAGGTGGTGGGAAGCGTTGAGAGATTTGAATGTGCAGTCTGAACATCAGGTATTCTTACTGTAAGTTTTCTTTCTTTACTTCCTAGAATGGCTTCAATAAGAAAAACCAGCCGTACTGTGCGTGATATCTTTGGCGACTTCAGTGATATTTCCTTAGAAGATTCAAAGATGGAAGAAATCCGGAACTTGGAAATCAGTAGAAGTCTTACCAAAATAGCACCCGGTCCAAGCAGATTTCTAAAAAGAAACCAGACTATGGGTGGAAAACACTTATTCCCGAAAGAGAATGCTTTCCTGGGGAGTGGGCCCTGGCTGTCTTCAGGTAGAGCTTCGACCACTGCCTCGAAGGTCAGGGCCAACGCTGCGCTCACAAAGCTGGCCCAGATAGAAACCAAGATCAGGAACCGGAAGGTGCAGATGGATTTGTCCGACGTGGAATCTGACCTGAAGACCTCTGAGGACTGGCTTCCTAGCAGAGCAGACGAAAATCCCCCTAGAAGGACGGTTGACCTTTCTTCACAGAACACAGACAAAACCTCCCAGAAACAGGCCCTTGAAATTCCTGTCCCTGAGAGTGACATGCCGAGTGGGAAGGTCAGTAGGTTTCTAAAGAAGAGAGAAGCACCTGTGGAAAAGATATCCCCTGAAGCACATGTTGGGAAAGAGAGGGATCTTCAAACACCCAAAGAGAAAAAACCTCCTAGAAGACTGGATTCTCCAGACAGTGATGAAGAGGAAATGAAAGAGTTGCTAGGAAGCTTGATGGAATCTTCTAGCGAAAAACAAGCATCCACAAATCAGGGTTTCACCAGCACCAAAGTCAGTGAGAAAGAACAAACAAAACTAGTCTCGGTAAGGTTTGCGTGTATTTATTTTGTACTTGTATGTACTTTGCATTTGTACCTTTCTATCATAGCACTAGAGACTTTTGAAGAGAGCCATCACCCGTAAACACTCAGAAAGTGTTTGATGAGGAGAGGTTGGGTTTCAGCCAATCACGGGTACCCATTGCTGGTCTGCTCTGTAAGGGACAGGATTTGGGACACGTCAGGCAGTTTTGCACTATGTGGAGCCTCGTAGCTGTATACACCCCAGGACAGCACTTTGTATGACTGATCCAACACCAGCTGTGATCACTACCATTGGTGATCCATGCCTATTTGTTGGTTGTACCACACGGGAATCACTACATTGGGAAGGCTGCATTTCCATCTTCCAACTGTTCAATGCCAATGAACAGTTCAGTGGCATTAAGTGCATTCACGATGTTGTGTAACCACCACCTCTGTCTAGTTCCAAAACGTTTTCATCATGCCAAAAGGAGACCCTTACCCAGTAATCCCTCCCTGTTTCCCCCTCCCCCAGACCCTAACAACCACTAATCTGCTTTGTGTCACTGTGGGTTTGCCTGTTCTAGACATCTCGTGTAATGGAATTATACAACCTGTGGCCTTTTGTGTCTGGTTTCTTTCCCTTAGCATGATGTTTACGAGGTTCACTCACATTGTAGCACGTGTCAGTGCTTCATTCGTTTCTATGGCTGAGTAATATTCCGTTGTGTGGATGGACCACATTTTATTTATCCATTTGTCCATTGATGGACATTTGGGTTGTTTCCACCTTTTGGCGATTGTGAATAGTATACAAGTATCTGTTTGAGTCCCTGTTTTCAATTCTTCGGGTTTATACCTAGGAGTCGAACTCTTGGGTCTTGTAGTAATTTTGTGTGTAACTTATCGAGGAACAGAAAAACTGTTTCCCACAGTGACTGCACTGTTTTACATTCCCACCAGCAGTGTATGAGGGTTCCAATTTCTCCACATCCTCACCAACACTTGTTATTTTTTGTTATTTATTTATTTTTTTTGGTTATAGCCATCCTAGTTGGTGTGAAGTGATGGGAAGGCTGCATTTTAAGGGGAAAAATCTGCATATTGATTTTGACTCTGTTGAAGATCCGTGTTCTCAGGGACCTTAGTTTAGAAAATGTGTAATTAACAATATGTATTTGAAAGCAAAGTGAATTTTTCTGATTATTTGTGGAGTATGTCTAATCCCAGTATTATCTTGTCTAAATGTTGTACCTTGACTTCCAGAGATGAGGGGAAGGGAAAGAAAGGGGCAGAGAGGGATAATGATTTGATCACCAAGGACTCATGCTCTCCACCAGCCATGATGTCCGATGATAAGGACTTATGTAGCGTATGTTTGGTAATTTCCCTTCTTTTGTTTCCACCAAAGTAGGATCAGATCCCAAATCAACTGAGAGTCCTTTCGCTGCCCAGGAAGGATCTTTCCAGCTCAAAGCCATTTCCGACATCACGTCTGCCAACCTCACGGTCAGCAGATGGGACCCTTCACAGTGCTGGCTCGAGAACTTGCTCCCCACAGATTCCCATTTCAGAGGACACAGCCTCCCACACGGCATCACTTTCCATCCCCGGAGCCTTTCCGAAGTCTGTGCCCTCAACAGTGGGGGATGGCAAGCTCTCGTCCTCCCCAAGAAGGAGTGAGGCTGGGCCTCAGGATGAGTCTCCCTCAGAAGCCGCCGATGAAAGTCTAAATGGTAACCCTCATCCCTGCGCAGAGTTGTCACCCTGGGGCAGGAAGGGCAAGACCGCCTCTAGGATCCCTGGTGTGGTGGTCACAGGGTATTGTCATGAGGGGTGCGAGTCACACCCTTGGCTTCCTGACCTTCTTTCCTAGTTGAGGGGCTATGTTAGATTTTTTTGTTCTGTCTTTAAAGCCTTCTTCTAGTAACCCTACCCAATGACAGAGCAAACACGGAAATCCTTCTAGAGCCTCGTGCAAGAGGACGGCAATGCAGTTTTCCTTGTTGTAAAAGAGAAATTTGCTTCCTTTCCTTTTTAACTTCAGAAAAAGAAACCAATCTCTAACCAGTCACAAACTTTTCTTTTTATAAATTTATTTATTTATTTTTGGCTGCATTGGGTCTTCGTTGCTGCGCACAGGCTTTCTCTAGTTGCGGCGAGCAGGGACTACTCTTCATTGTGGTGCGCGGGCTTCTCATTGTGGTGGCTTCTCTTGTTGCAGAGCACAGGTTCTAGGCACGCGGACTTCAGTAGTTGTGGCTCGCGAGCTCTAGAGCGCAGGCTCAGTAGTTGTGGCGCACGGGCTTAGTTGCTCCACGGTATGTGGGATCTTCCTGGGCCAGGGCTCGAACCCGTGTCCCCTGCATTGGCAGGTGGATTCCTAACCACTGTGCCACCAGGGAAGTCCCTCATAAACATTTTTATTATTTCACCATCATTGAACGTGATTTTTATTTTAACATTGTATGTATTTAAGGAAGAGCAGAAAGAAAAAGATGTGCAGCCAACATTGATTTCTCCCATCTGGTGCCTGATCATCAAATCCGAGTTCAATAACTGTGTCTCGAGTACCTGCTGTGTGCCAGCACGTGCCAGGCATCATGGTGTCAGGAACAGGATGACAAACAAGCCAACTGTCCCCTGACCCCAAGTGCCAGGGTGATCTGTAGCCTGTGAATCAGTTGTAGGGGAGGAAAAATAGCTTTTTCCTTGTGTCCTTCTGGGTTCTTGGCTGGGGCTCTGTGACCAAAGACAGGTTAACAGGAGAAGAGCGTTCAGATATTAAATAAATACTTAATGTACGTTTTATGTGACACAGGAGCCTTCATAAGGAAAGGGAAACCTGAAGAAACGGTCGCGCCTTCTGCTAGGTTTGATGGGAGAATAGTTGTGGGAGAATATGATAGATGGAAGGATATGAGCCAAGGGTAGTAGATGAGGGGATGTAGTTGGGGTTGCTCAGTGTTCCCCCATCTTGGACATAAGGATGCTCCTTTCCTCCAGGTAGAGGGAAGGCACATCTTCTTACCTGAGAGCCTTACGACCTGATTCAGGGGAGAAGGTCAGGGAGTCCTTGCAGCCCCTGCTGTGTCTCAGATTCCTGCAGGTCAAAATATTCAAGATGCCAAGGTACCACCACATAGGGGGCGGGGAGGAGAAGCACGGCCAGCAAGAGTCCCTGCCACGCGCCCTCGTGAGGGTTGGAGAAGGCAGCGAAACGGGCTCACGGATGTGAGGAAATCCCTTTGAGCCCCCTCAGGGGCCACCATCGGCCGGATGCCATTTGGCACCTCACCGATACGGTCTCATATCTTTGGGCGCAAGGGGCTGGTGAGTGGGTGTCCACGCCAGCCTGGCAGGTGGGTGAGAAGGTGGGTGTAGCTGGTGGGGCAGGTGCCAGACCCAAGTTCCTGCCCTCCTGGGCCGCCCATCCAGGCTGCCCCTCAGCCCTCGCTGCTGGCCTGGAGGGCCCCCTTGGTGTCCAGACCCCACCTTCCCTCATTCTGATGCAGCCTCAAGGGAGGCACGTAGCAGGGAGTGGTGAGTACAAGTCTGAGTTTGGGGTCCAGCATACTTGAGGTGGACATCCTTGCTCCGCCTCTTTCTGGCCATGCAGTGTCAGGCTCTCTGTGCCATGGTCTCCACATCTGTAACGTGGGGCAGAGCTGTGTCAGTGAGCTGGTGCCTGTGGAGTGCCTCAGTGGGGCCTCCTGCTTAGTAAGTGTGTGCATGTCCAGGTTGGTTGATGTGACAATAACGTCATTCCTCAGCCAATGACAACACTGTTCCAGAGAACTCGTCCACAGTCTCCTGCAGTGCCTTGGCCCGAGCCGGCTGGGATGGCTTAGTTCAGAGGCTTTGTCCATGAACGTATCTCTGGACTTACGCGTCACGTGCATTGTGGTAACTGGCAGTGTTAGAGGAGCTCGGAGGCGGGGGCGAGACCCTCACGCTAGAGTGATGAGCTGGGCTTTGATCTGGGTCTTATGCTGCCAGACGGCTGCACTCAGCTGACCTTTCCAAAGAGAGTAGACGGCTCAGTCTTCCATCTCCTGCTCATCCCCAGCGCTGTGCCACCTGCGGGAGGGCCCTGCTCCCGTCTGCTCCTGCTAACTGTCCCCTGCTTGTTCCTAGAATTGGGGGTCTCGTCCTGCCTCCTCAGGGAGACTCATCCCTCCAACCTAGCATGTGCCCTCCGTGGAAGCCTCTAGACACCTTAGGCCCTCTTCGGAAGTGTCTGTTCAACTCAGCCATGATTGGATCATGTACCTGCTTGAGTTTTGAGGCCCCGCAGGGTGGACCCCCCGCACCGCGCCCTTCCCATCCCCAGTTGTGTGCGCACGCGCACACACACACACACACACACACAGCCTCTGTGCCTCGGGCCTGAAATGAGCCACATGATGGGGTCCCTGCGAATACTGGCAGCCAGTCGGCCTCCCCCGTCCTGGGGAGGAGTGGGCTCACATACTGATGGGGCAGAAACCCGCTGGGACACCCGAACTGCGCAGAGCCTTCCTCCTCCTGAGTAACCTGCACCCAAGGCATTTGGGCGCTGGTGACTGGCCAGCTGGCACCACAGTTAAGTGTCCTTGACTTGCTTTAAATGAGAACTTAGGACGAGGTGCCAGTCCCCCTTTTCTACCTCAAGCACATGTGTCACTAGGTGTCCTTCCTTGCATCATGATCGTCTCCTCTGTCTAGGCCAGAGGCCGAGAGGTCCGTGGTCTGTGTTTTGTTTCTTTGTTTTGCTTTGTTCTTTGGCCTCACTGCACATCCTGTGGGATCTTAGTTCCTTAGTTCCCCAACCAGGGGTTGAACCCGGGCCCTCGGCAGTGAAAACGAAGAGTCCTAACAACTGGGAATTTCCCCACCGTCTGGTTTTTTTTTTTTCCTTTGCACTGGGTCCTGCAGATCCTGTGGCCAGACCTGGTGTCAGCTCCTCCTTCCCCAGCCAAGTCTCCAACCCCCTTGAGGTTATAACTCCCTCCTCGCAGACCTCCAGGGCCCCTGTACACATGTTCACAATACTTGGCTCTTCTTTTATTTAAAAAAATTTTTTTTAATGTTTTATTTATTTATTTTTGGCTGCGTTCGGTCTTCATTGCTGTGTGCGGGCTTTCTTCTAGTTGCGACGAGCGGGGGCTACTCTTTGTTGCAGAGCATGGGCTTCTCATTGGGGTGACTTCTCTTGTTGCAGAGCACGGGCTCTAGGGCGCATGGGCTTCAGTCGTTGTGGCTCGTGGGCTTAGTTGCTCTGTGGCATTTGAGATCTTCCTGGACCAGGGTTTGAACCCATGTCCCCTGCACTGGCAGGCAGATTCTTAACCAGTGCGCCACCAGGGAAGCCCAGTCGTCTGTTCTTATGAATAAAGTTTTTTGTTTTTTGTTTTTTTGGCCGCACCGTGTGGCATGTGGGATCTCAGTTCCCCGACCAGGGATCGAACCCGCATCCCCTGCTTTGGAAGGCCGGAGTCTTAACTGCAGAACCATGGGGGAAGTCCCTATAAATAAAGTTTTACTGGGACACAGCCATACCCATTTGTTTACACATGGTCTGTGGCGGCTTTTGAATCATGAGGGCAGAGCTGAGCAATGGTGACAGAGACAGACTAGCCCAAAAAGCCAAAAATATTTATGACCTAGCCCTTTAGAGAAAAAGCGCTTGGATCCCTGGGCTCACTTTCTGAGGACAGGGACTGTATGCCTTCTGCTCTTCCCGTCCCTAGCACTTAGCCCGGTGCCTACAACAGGATGGTAAATGCATGTGGAGTAAATATCGACATGTTACATTTTTGATTACAGATTTGAGAATAAACATTTTATCCCTTGATGATCTGGCTCCAGCCGTCAGTGAGAAATCAGACTTGGAACAGAAAGTAAGTACAAAAAACTGATTTTTCGTTTTAGGTCTTTGGGTAGAACAGCTTGCAACCGTTATGCCTCATTTAGGTCAGTGGTTCTCACCTCGGGGCGATTGCTCCCCTAGGGGACACTTGGCAATGTCTGGCAACACTGTGGTCATGACTGGGGTGCAGGGTGCTACTGGCATTCAGTGGGTAGTGGTCAGGGATGTCCTGTGCCAGTGTCCCACAATGCATAGGATGGCCCCCGCTGCAAAGAATGTTCGTGTCTCAAATGTCAGCGTGCCATGGGTAGAGACCCTGATCTAGGTAATAACAGGATAGAGCTACTTAACATATCAGAAGATTAAAGCAGATCCCACTTCAACTTCCCCACAACTAACCTGTACTTGTTGCATCGCCCCGTGGTGATTCTTTCCATATTAGTAACCACCTCATTATCAACGCATGTTTTGATAATACATAATAATGACCCTTTAACAGATTTCACCCACGTGCCAGCTACACGTGCTCACAACATCAGTGCTAAGTGCAGCAGCCTCGTGCTGAAGGGTTTCAAGAGTTCTGCTCGCGGATACACAAGAGAAGGAAAAGACCTACAAAAACAAACCCAGAACAATTAAGAAAATGGTAATAGGAACATACATATCGAAATTACCTTAAACGTAAATGGATTAAATGCTCCAACCAAAAGACATAGACTGGCTGAATGGATACAAAAACAAGACCTATATATATGTTGTCTACGAGAGACCCGCTTCGGACCTAGGGACACATATAGACTGAAAGTGAGGGGATGGAAAAAGATATTCCATGCAACTGGAAATCAAAAGAAAGTTGGAGTAGCAATTCTCATATCAGACAAAAGTGACTTTAAAATAAAGACTATTAGAAGAGACAAAGAAGGACACTACATAATGATCAAGGGCTCAATCCAAGAAGAAAATATAACAGTGGTAAATATTTATGCACCCAACATAGGAGCACCTCAGTACATAAGGCAAATGCTAACAGCCATAAAAAGGGAAATCGACAGTAACACAATCATAGTAGGGGACTTTAACACCCCACTTTCACCAATGGACAGATCATCCAAAATGTAAATAAATAAGGAAACACAAGCTTTAAATGACACATGGACTTAACTGATATTTATAGGACATTCCACCCAAAAACAACAGAATACACTTTCTTCTCAAGTGCTCATGGAACATTCTCCAGGATAGACCATATCTTGGGTCACAAATCAAGCCTTGGTAAATTTAAGAAAATTGCAATTATGTCAAGTATCTTTTCCGACCACAATGCATTGAGACTACATATCAATTATAAGAAAAAGACTGTAAAAAATACAAACACATGGAGGCTAAACAACATGTTACTAAATAACCAATAGATCACTGAAGAAATCAAAGAGGAAATCAAAAATACCTAGAAATAAATGACACGATGACGCAAAACATGGGATGCAGAAAAAGCAGTTCTAAGCGAGAAGTTTATAGCAGTACAATCCTACCTCAGGAAACAAGAAAAATCTCAAATAAACAACCTAACCTTACATCTAAAGCAATTAGAGAAAGAAGAACAAAAATCCCCCAAAGTTAGCAGAAGGAAAGAAATCATAAAGATCAGATCAGAAATAAATGAAAAAGAAATGAAGGAAACGATAGCAAAGATCAATAAAATGAAAAGCTCGTTGTTTGAGAAGATAAAATTGATAAACCGTTAGCCAGACTGATCAAGAAAAAAAAGGGAGAAGACTCAAATCAACAAAATTAGAAATGACAAAGGAGAAGTAACAACTGACACTGCAGAAATACAAAGGATCATGAGAGATTACTACAAGCAACTATATGCCAATAAAATGGACAACCTGGAAGAAATGGACAAATTCTTAGAAAAGTACCACCTTCCGAGACTGAACCAGGAAGAAATAGAAAATGTAAACAGATCAATCACAAGCACTGAAATTGAGACCGTGATTAAAAATCTTCCAACAGGGCTTCCCTGGTGGCGCAGTAGTTGAGACTCCGCCTGCCGATGCAGGGGACATGGGTTCATGACCCGGTCCAGGAAGATCCCACATGCCGCGGAGCAGCTGGGCCCATGAGCCATGGCCACTGAGCCTGAGCATCCGGAGCCTGTGCTCCATAACGGGAGAGGCCGCAACAGTGAGAGGCCTGCATACCACAAAAAAAAAGAAAAGAAAAGAAAAAAAATCTTCCAACAAACAAAAGCCCAGGACCAGAAGGCTTCACAGGTGAATTCTATCAAACATTTAGAGAAGAGCTAACACCTATCCTTCTCAAACTCTTCCAAAATATAGCAGAGGGAGGAACACTTCCAAACTCATTCTACGAGGCCACCATCACCCTGATACCAAACCCAGACAAAGGTGTCACAAAAAAAGAGAACTACAGGCCAATATCACTGATGAACATAGATGCAAAAATCCTCAACAAAATACTAGCAAACAGAATCCAACAACACATTAAAAGGATCATACACCACAATCAAGTGGTGTTTGTCTCAGGAATGCAAGGATTCTTCAATATATGCAAATAAATCAATGTGATACACCATATTAACAAATTGAAGGATAAAAACCATATGATAATCTCAGTAGATGCATAAAAAGCTTTTGACAAAATTCAACACCCATTTATGATAAAAACTCTCCAGAAAGTAGGCATAGATGGAACCTACCTCAACATAATATAGGCCATATATGACAAACCCACAGCCAACATTCTCAATGGTGAAAAACTGAAACCATTTCCTCTAAGATCAGGAAGAAGACAAGGTTGCCCACTCTCACCACTATTATTCAGCATAGTTTTGAAAGTTTTAGCCACAGCAATCAGAGAAGAAAAAGAAATAAAAGGAATCCAAATCAGAAAAGAAGAAGTAAAGCTGTCACTGTTTGCAGACATTACATAGAGAATCCTCAAGATGCCACCAGAAAACTACTAGAGCTAATTAATGAATTTGATAGAGTGGCAGGATACAAAACTAATGTACAGAAATATCTTGCATTCCTGTACACTAATGACGATGAAAGAGAAATTAAGGAAACACTCCCATTTACCATTGCAACAAAAAGAATAATAAACCTACCTAAGGAGACAAAAGACCTTGTATGCAGAAAACTATAAGACACTGATGAAAGAATTAAAGATGATACAAACAGATGGAGAGATATACCATGTTCTTGGATTGGAAGAATCAACATTGTGAAAATGACTCTACTACCCAAAGCAATCTACAGATTCAGTGCAATCCCTATCAAACTACCAATGGCATTTTCCAGAGAACTAGAACAAAAAATTTCACAATTTATATGGAAACACAAAAGACCCCGAAAAGCCAAAGCAATCTTGAGAAAGAAAAACGGAGCTGGAGAATCAGGCTCGCTGACTTCAGACTATACTACAAAGCTACAGTCATCAAGACAGTATGGTATTAGCACAAAAACAGAATATAGATCAATGGAACAGACAGCCCAGAGATAAGCCCACGCACATATGGTTACCTTATCTTTGATAAAGGAGGCAAGAATATACAATGGAGAAAAGACAGCCTCTTCAATAAGTGGTGTTGGGAAAACTGGACAGCTACACATAAAAGAATGAAATTAGAACACTTCTTAACACCATACACAAAAATGAACTCACAATGGATTAAAGATCTAAATATAAGGCCAGACACTATAAAACTCTTAGAGGAAAACATACACAGAACACCCTATGACATAAATCACAGCAAGATCCTTTTTGACCGACCTCCTAGATAAATGGAAATAAAAACAAAAATAAACAAATGGGACCTAATGAAACTTAAAGACTTTTGCACAGCAAAGGGAACCATAAACAAGACGAAAAGAAAACCCTCAGAATGGGAGAAAATATTTGCAAACGAAGCAACTGACCAAGGGTTAATCTCCAAAATATACAAGCAGCTCATGCAGCTCAATATCAAAAAAACAAACAAACAACCCTATCCAAAAATGGGCAGAAGACCTAAATAGACATTTCTCCAAAGAAGATACACAGATTGCCAACAAACACATGAAGGGATGCCCAACATCACTAATCATTAGAGAAATGCAAATCAAAACTACAATGAGGCATCACCTCACACCAGTCAGAATGGCCATGATCAAAAAATCTACAAACAATAAATGCTGGACAGGGTGTGGAGAAAAGGGAGCCCTCTTGCACTGTTGGTGGGAATGTAAATTGATACAGCCACTGTAGAGAACAGTATGGAGGTTCCCTAAGAAACTAAAAATAGAACTACCGTATGACCAAGCAATCCCACTACTGGGCATATACCCTGAGAAAACCATAATTCAAAAAGAGCCATGTACACAATGTTCATTGCAGCAGTCTTTACAATAGCCAGGACATGGAAGCGTCCATTGACAGACGAATGGATAAAGAAGATGTGGCACATATATACAATGGAATATTACTCAGCCATAAAAAGAAATGAAATTGTCATTTGTAGTGAGGTGGGTGGATGTAGAGTCTGTCCTACAGAGTGAAGTAAGTCAGAAAGAAAAACAAATACCATATGCTAACACATACATATGGAACCTTAAAAAAAAAACGTTCTGATGAACCTATTCCTGTCCCTACGTTCTGATGAACCTAGGGACAGGAATAAAGATGCAGATGTAGAGAATGGACTTGAGGACACTGGGAGGGGGAAGGGTCAGCTGAGAGTAACTTTGACGTATACACCAGCAAATGTAAAATAGATATTACATTTATTTTACATTTATCCCTTGTGGGAACAGCTGCATAGCACAGGGAGATCAGCTCGGTGCTTTGTGACCACCTAAAGGGGTGGGATAGGGAGGGTGGGAAGGAGATGCAAGAGGGAGGGGATATGGGGATAAATGTATACATATAGCTGATTCACTTTGTTATACAGCAGAAACTAGCACAACATTGTAAAGCAATTATACTCCAATAAAGATGTTTAAAAAAAAAAAAAAAGAGTTCAGCTCACGATACTCAGCCTGCCTAAATCTAGGAAGGACAGCGTGGACCCTCACCTCCTGGGCCCTTGGGGTGTCCTCATCCTAACGCAGTTGTATTCCGAGCTTGTTCATTCGAAAACACTTTCCAGTGACCTCTGCCATCCTTTGTTTTAGAAAGGTCAGGGGGAAAAGGCATCCAGCAAAAACCCCTGGGCTGGGGCCCCCCGCTCTGGAAGCAAGATTTCTGAGTGCCTGAGCCAGCGGTCCGTCTCGTCCCTTGGACCCAAGGGCACTTCTAGCCTGGGGTCAAAGTCTCAGGAACCTACGGCCAGCACAGTGAGCTCGGCTTATTCGGATGATTTTGAAAAATCCCCCAGTCCAACAGCATCTGAGTCGACGCCCCATTCTGAGGAGTCTCCTGACAGGACGCTGGCGACTTGGTCTGAATTTTCTGCAAGCCTGAAGACAGACCTTCCTCCACCAACTCCCAAGTCTCGGAAAAAGTGGGCCAGGGGTGTTACAAGAGTCATGGTGAAGGAGATGGCTGTGCAGACCCTCGATCCCGCCTTCACCTACCAGTGGGCTAAGGGTAAGCATGTTGGTTGGAGGAGGGAGGGGCAGGCCAGAGGCAGCGACAGGCAGGAACCCTGGGGCCAGGAGGTCTGGGTTGTCGTCATTAGTCAGCTGGGGGGACCTCAGCACCCTGTTTCCTCTCCCACAGAAGAGGGGGCTCCTTGGGTACTCTCCACTGTCTTCCAAGCTCTAAAACACTGAAGGGTTTCAAACCAAAGACTAAGGCAGTGGTTCTCAGCTGGGGTGATCCTGGCCCCAGGGGACAGACATCGGCAAGGTCTGGGTGACGGGAAGCCTATGGGTGGAGGCCAGGAGTGCTGCTCAACATCCTGCAGTGGCCAGGACGGCCTGGCCAGAGAGTGACTGCGCCCCAAATGTCAGTGTTACCCAGGGTGACAGGAACCGCCTTCTGGGACAGCATGTCCTCAGGCACTTTGTGGGGCCCCAGCATGGGGGCTCCAAGGGCTGCTGTGTTGCCCAGCTGGCTGGTTGTCTGAACTCGCTGCGTTTGTCGGTGGATTCTCTTCTGGGGTGCAGCAGGCACTGCTCATCTTTTCTCGTGTCCCCAGCATTGGTCTTGGCCCTTGCGGATGGAAAGGTCGCTTTCTTTTAGCGAGTCTCCTGCTCCCTTTTCTTGTCTAGACAACACCTGCAATACGGACGGAGCTTGTTTCCAGACTGTGCGCTGGGGTGCGGTTCTCCCTTTGTCTGTTCATTTGGATTTGGGGGCTTAGTCATACATCCGCTGGGACCTCACACCTGGCTGGGGCGTGGCTGTTCTGTTTCTCAGGGAGGAAGATCAGTCAGACGAGCCAACTCAGATCACTGGAAGGTGTTCAAGGGGATTTTAAACCCTGGTTCTGTGTCCCTCTCCAGGTCCTCCTGCTGCCTTTCTGACAGCCTAGCCTGTGGGCAGCAAATGTGCCCATTTTTGTTTCTTTTTTTGCAATTTAAAGAGATGGACACGGGGTGGGGGGAAGGGCAAGCTGGGACGAAGTGAGAGAGTGGCATGGACATATATACACTACCAAACGTAAAATAGATAGCTAGTGGGAAGCAGCCGCATAGCACAGGGAGATCAGCTCGGGGCTTTGTGACCACCTAGAGGGGTGGGATAGGGAGGGTGGGAGGGAGACTCAAGAGGGAGGGGATATGGGGATATATGTATATGTATAGCTGATTCACTTTGTTATAAAGCAGAAACTAACACACCATTGTGAAGCAATTATACTCCAATAAAGATGTTTTTAAAAAAAAGTGAAAAATAAAAAATAAAGAGATGCTTTCATAAAACATTGGTGGTGCTGATTTCCTAGACGCGGCCTGACTTTGAAAGGAGGGAGAAAAAAGGCAGCATAAATGAGCCAGCCAGTTAGAATCCAGGGAACATTCCGAAGCCCTTAAGTAGCTGTGGAAGGAGGGCAGGGCCAGGGGAGGGCACAGTGCCACAGTTGTCAGCCGTGCTGAGCTGTGGTGGCCACTTCAGCCAGCACCCTGACTTGTATATTGAACAGGGAGAACCTACCAGAAAGATGGAGGCAGGTTTGGGAAATTTTTAAAAGGGGTAACGGTTAAAAAAGCAAGGAGGGTGGCCATCGCATTCAGAAAGAGAAAAGGACAGATTCATGCAGCTTATTTCAGCCTCACACCTGTTGATGAGAAAGTCATTGCTCTGAATCCTGCCCACTCACCTCTCCCCCTTTGTCCTTGGGACAGCGGCCGGCGTAGCGGCCATCGGACCAGCCCTGGGAGGTGCCTATGTGGACCCCTCGCCCATCGCCAGCCACGTCATCAGTGCGGACGCCATAGAAGGTAACAGCCCAGCTCACCTTGTGGGTCCCTTAGGTCGAGGACACCGATGTTGGACAGAACAGGAAGGCTACCAGGAACATACCTATGAGCCTTCCACCCCCACAGGGCCATCTTTATTTTGTGTGTTCCCCTCAGAGCCTTTCTGTCCAGAATCCATAGGTGTTTTCCTCTGGAAGACACTCAGCCAGTACTGAGCGGCCCAGCCCTGTGGACGCGACACTTGCCTCCTTGCTGAGTGTGGGAGAATCGTGGGGCCCTGGGGAGGCCCAGCCCAGCCTTGGGCAATAGGAAGACGCCCAGCAGCCACCTTGGGAAACCCAGTCTGTGTCAGGTCCCACAGGGCTGCTGATGACTCGCATGACACAAGCAAGGATCCATCTAGAACCTGCTTTTTTCCCCCCATTTCCATTTTCTTAACATTTTTAGAAGATGAAGATATTAAAATATATTGGTTGTAATATGTGAAATATTTATATCCTTCAAAAAAATCTCCTGTTTTTAAACACAATATTAACCTCAACAATTTTTCCATGTTACTGTGTAGTCTTAGTAATGATCATTTTTAACAGTTGCAGTTATTTTTTTTTGAATTTTTTTAATTTTAATTTTATTTTTTGGCTACAGTGGGTCTTCGTTGCTGAGCGGGGGATACTCTTTGTCACGGTGCGCGGGCTTCTCATTGCGGTGGCTTCTCTTGTTGCGGAGCACGGGCTCTAGGCACGCCGGCTTCAGTAGTTGTGGCGCGCGGGCTCAGTAGTTGTGGCTTGCGGGCTCTAGAGCGCAGGCTCAGTAGTTGTGGCGCACGGACTTTGTTGCTCCACGGCATGTAGGATCTTCCCGGACCAGGGCTCGAACCAGTGTCCCCTGCATTGGCAGGCGGATTCTTAACCACTGCGCCACCAGGGAAGCCCCGGTTGCAGTTATTTTTAATTGTACTTTTATTTAATTATTATATTTTAATTGCATTTTAAATTATTTTAATTATGTGTTTAAAAATTCATAGTGTAAAATTTACCCTCTTCCGCATTTTTAAGTGTACAGTTCAGGAGTGTCAGATTCGCACTGTGCGGTTGCAGTTTGGGGAGCCATGTCACTGGCCTTCTTTCCTTGTGTTGGACGCCGAGGTGAGGCTTCCGGTTCTGCCTGGGAGCTGAGCTGAGGGTGTGAGATCCACACAAAGTCAGCGAAGAGAGCGGTTCCTTTACTACTGAGTAGAGAGAGGCACAGAATAGGCGAGTCCTTTGCTGCTTCTGAAGGTGGCAGCAGCTGCAGAGAGCATCCCGACACAGTCCACGGTTGGGGGCTGCAGGGCCCTTGCGGGGAGCGGGTCTGGCCAGGGGGATGGGGCCCCGGGGGCTGCCGACTGACACGGAACCCGGTGCAGCCCTGACAGCGTACAGCCCCACCGTGTTCGCGCTCAACGATGTGCTGAAGCAGCAACTGAGCCTGACACAGCAGTTCATCGAGGCCAGCCGGCACCTGCATGCATCCCTCCTGCGCTCCCTGGACCGGGACTCATTCCATTACCACACCCTGGAGGAAACCAAAGAGGTGACCATGGTGCAGCTAACCCTTCCCGGGAAAGAGAGGGCAGGCGGCTTCCCACGCTCAGCCCGGGGTGGCGGGGACGCTGGGGGCCCCGCCACCTTCACCTTCAGTCCTCGTGGAAGGAGTCCTGTTCTCTCTTTGGCCATGACCAGGGCTGGTGCGGGGCAGGGGCACTGAGAGCCAGCCGCAGCCCAGGCTGTGTGTGACCTTGGACCAAAGGTGACCTCCTCGGTGAGGGTCCTGTCCCTCTACCTACCGTTCCCGTGGGCCACCACAGGCAGGGCCCCTCTCCTCAGTCCCAAGGGCTAAGTTCAAGAGATGTCACACTCACCTCTATTTTTCCCTCCAAAATTTATTTTTTTGTCTGATTACAAAAAGTATTGTATAAAAATTTTGTTGGAGATATGTAGCCTATAAAGTTCTCCATAATTTCAGAGATAACTATTACCAACTTGATATATAGTCTTTAGATTTTTCCTATGTAAAATATAAACTGTTATGTACATGTACAATATTATATCTTACATATTTTATACTATGTATAAAATATATAGAAGAGGTATAGTATTTATATATAATAACATGATATATATATTTCTTTACAGAAATGGCATCATACTATATGAGTTGTTCTGCATGGTGATTTTTATCATTTTATCTACAAATATTTCAGTATATATTTCTTAAAAATAAAGACTTTAAAAAAATAGTCACAATGCCAGTATACCAAAACCAAATTAACTTTTCTTTTTGGTTTTGCTTGTGGGATCTTAGTTTCCTGACTAGGGATCAAACCCGTGCCCTTGGCAGTGAAAGTGCAGAGTCCTAACCACCGGACAGCCAGGGAATTCCTGCAGCATTTTTTTTTTTTTTTGGCTGCGTTGGGTCTTTCTTGCTGTGTGTCGGCTTTTTTCTAGTTGCAGCGAGCAGGGGCTACTCTTCATTGTGGTGTACAGGCTTTTAATTAGGTGGCTTCTCCTGTTGCAGAGCATGGGCTCTAGGCGCGCGGGCTTCAGTAGTTGTGGCTCGTGGGCTCTAGAGTGCAGTCTCAGTAATTGTGGCACACAGGCTTAGTTGCTCCGCAGCATGTGGGATCTTCCTGGACCAGGGCTCGAACCCATGTCCCCTGCATTGGCAGGCAGATTCTTAACCACTGCGCCACCAGGGAAGCCCTAAGTTTTCTTGATATCATTAGATATCCAGTGTTCAGATTTCCACTCATCTCATAAAAGTTGTACCTTTTTCTCCTGTTTATTTCATCAGTGTCCAAAGTGGTACATCAAGATCGTTTGGGGCTTCCCTGGTGGCGCAGTGGTTGAGAGTCCACCTGCCGATGCAGGGGATGCGGGTTCGTGCCCCGGTCTGGGAAGATCCCACATGCCGCAGAGCGGCTGGGCCCGTGAGCCATGGCCGCTGAGCCTGCGCGTCCGGAGCCTGTGCTCCACAACGGGAGAGGCAACAACAGTGAGAGGCCCGCGTACCGCAAAAAAAAAATCATTTGATGTCTTAATCTAGAGCAGTGGTTCTCAGCCCTGAGCAGCGTCAGACCCCTGAGGGCCTGACCACTGGGGTTGTGTTGGCAGCAGGGTGGGCCTAGCAGTGGGCGTTTCTCCCATGGGCCCATTGGGGACCCACTTTGAGAACCACTGCTCTAGAGGTCTTCCCCCCTCCCCCATCTCTTTTGTTTCCTTGCAGTTTACTGGTTGGAAGAAAATAGGTTGTCCTGGGACTTCCCTGGCGGTCCAGTGGTTAAGACTCTGCGCTTCCAATGCAGGGGGTGTGGGTTCGATCCCTGGTTGGGGAACAAAGATCCCACATGCCGCACGGTGTGGCCAAGAAAAAGAAAGAAAATAGGTTATCTGACGGTTTCCCACATTCTGGACTGGGCTGATTGCTCCCTAGTGGGGTCCTTTTAACTTGTTCCTCTGTTGGATGTGCATCAGTTGATTGGATGCAGGCTGAAGTGATCTGACTACGTCACCTGCCTGCAGCCCACGTGTGGCTGCCTGCTCTCTGCTCCAGGCCCACACCCTGAGAGTGGCACCCAAGTCCTTCTCCCCAACCTGTGTCCTCTGAGGGCACCCCGGGTAGCCCTGCCCCTCACCACGGTCCCTTTTCCCTTCCAGGCTCAGTCAAGTCTCACCCCTTGCAGGGTACCTGCCCGGAGGCTGCCTGGGTTCACCTCTCCTCTTCTGTTTCCATTGCCACCTGGCATCCCTTCATTTTTTCTGTTAGCCCCTGGGGATAGGCACCATCTCCAGGACCCAAAGCCTCAGTAGACTGAGGCAGCAGTGGTGATGGCTTCCCTGTGTGTCCTCTGCCCCACAGTACATCAGGCAACACAGGCCCACCCCGCTGACCATGGAGGAGGCCCTGGAGGAGGTGAAGAAGGAGCTGTGAACGCCGGGAGGTGAGACAGACTCATGGGTCTAAGGAGCTGGTCCCGTAAACCAGCCGTGATGCTCACACCTTAGTTCCCAGGGGACATTCCCAGTGGTGGGGGCAGGTGGCACCCAGGACTCACCTGAGAGGAATCCCAGCTGCAGCCTTTTCTAGCTGAGTAGTTGAGCCCTCCCAGCCCCCATTTCCTCAGTGTGCATGGCACCTGAGAGGATGTACCACAGGCCAGTGGAAATGGAACCCCAGGTGGAGCTGTCACCACTCGTGGCAGGACAGAGGATGCCAGCCTGTCTGGAGCCACGAGGAAACAGGACCAGGCGTCCACGCCAGGGACTCCCAGGAGACACCAGGGCAGAGCTTCTGACCCGGCTCCACAATTCAGACAAAGTCTGCACTCAGGACGCACCTCCTCCCTCCTCAGCCTGAGCACGCTTCTTGACTTAAATACACAGAGGAAAAAGGTCTTTAAAAAAAAAGTCTTTATTTGAAGGCAAAACAGTAAAATCCACAAGAAATTGTTAACAACACGTTTACATTTTATCCTGAATCAGACACGTTTGAACAATTCACAGCTACAGGAAATCTAGAACAAAATCAAATATTTTATCACATCAGGTGGAAAAGTTGGAGAAAATTTTGCATCTCATTGAAAAGAATTTTTCAAAAATGTTTCTGTACAAATAAATGGCACCGCACCAAGCTGCCTGCGGATGCTGAGTGCAGCCGATCCCAGGCGGTCACTCAGCAGCTCCCGGCAGAGGCGGCTCCCTCCAGCCTCACCTCCCTTTGGGGGCGGCTTGGGGCAGGCAAAGGAAGTGACAGCAGGAAGCAGGGCCGGTGGTCGCTCTCCACACTCTGGATGTGAATGGGCCGTTGCACATGAGTGCTGGTGTGCGGGTTCCTCTCCGTGAAAAACACAAGTAGAGACACTAAGGGTACATATTCTCCAAGGGCGTCATCATTATGTGACCTGGAGATGCCTCAGATAAGTTTCTTCAGAACCTTTTGTTTCTGCAGGGAACAGCAAATGGCTAACGTTCAAACAAAAACAAAAACAAAAAACAAAACAAAAAAAACCACTTCAACTTAAACAGCTTAAGTAACTAAGGGCTAGTATGTCTCAGAGGAATCAGGTTTCAAATTATCTCACTGGGTATCAACCTAGATCAGTATTTTTTTCTAAAACTAAACCATCTGGAATAAAAATGAAAACCCTGTTTAACTTTGCAAATCAAAAAGGTTTTGTTTTTCCATTTTTAGAGTGAGCAGTACCAGCGCCTGGCCTGAGCCTTCTCACAACACAACTGATGGGGGAGTGGGAGGGCCGGCCCCTTGGGCTGGGCTGGCGTGTGCCCTCAGGGCCCCTCCTCCATGCACTCCCACTGGTTTTAGAGGCTCAGGCTGAGGGGAGATGTGAGACAGCCGTTCCTGCAGATGACAAGAATTCTTATCCAGGGGCCTTATGTTTCTCGCTTCACTGTCCAGGGAAATAAGCTCATGGTCGAGTTGGCTGGGCATCTCCTCGTGACTCTTGCTGCTACGTTAGAGCTGGTTTGCAGGTGGGGCCTGGGCCTTCCGCGCCATCAAGCGTGGCACTCGTCACAAGGCCTGCCGAAGTCTTCCTTCTCTTCTGTCGCTCCCCACAGATGGAGACAGTGTGAGAACCGAGCTGTCCCTACCATCTTCCACTGCCAGTAAGCCAAGAAGGGTCCAACCGTCCTCGCTGCCGGTGGCCGGCCACTGGCGTGGCTCCCTGCCCACGCCGCGCCTACTTGCACTCGTCCCTGGCCTTCATGCGGGCGATGAAGGAATAGCTCTTGTTCCTGCGGTAGTTCTCGTAGGGGTCGTCCAGGGCCACACCCACGCCCTTGTACTGGTCCCACTTATCCCGGACGTCCCCCCCCTTGATGGGGTCCTGGATTCCTTGCTCTTTCACGCCGAGGCCGCCAGATCCACTCCAGCCTGAAGAAGAGAGGGATGAGTGGTTACGACCCACAGAGGAAGCTGAAATTGTGGTGCATTTACCCTGACATGAAGTTAAATGGAAATGCGTTTGGAGAGTCAAACGACATGCAGACGTGCAGTTTGTAAATGGGGAACTAAGGGTAGTAAGAAAGGACGCTCAGTAAAAACCCTGCAGGCTCAGAAGTTGGTCATGAGTTGGAGCTTCCTCTGACTTCATCATCCCCCAACCCTGAATGCCCAGAGCGGATTGTTCTGTCTTCCCAGGAACCTTACCCATTTTCACCAGCATCTGATGTCCTTTGTTCTCTTCCCCGAGCCTGGAGTCAGGTATAGGAGGTGCTGAATTAGAACCCAGACCAGCCGAGGAACTAAAATTAAGACAGGTTACGTCTTTTAAAAAAGAGCTGATACATTTATTGGAATGAAAACTTAGAATATTACAGCGTGTAGCTTATACGTAGGGTCACCAGCGTGAGATGGACACACACACACACATTTCGTGTCTCTAGCTTTCTTCTTTATCCTCTTCGCCGGCAGATAAGGGGGTTCCCTAAGACGGCGGCCCCTGCCTCACACTCAGCGGCACAGCCAGGCCACACTGGACCGGTAAAACGGTTAGAAAATAGAGAGCGCAGCCACTGCCTCAGGCTTTACAACGTGACTGCAGAGGTAACAGCGAGGTGTGAGATGAGGTGCCACTGTCACTGTGCTAGTGCTCAGGGGCCCCGAGGTGCTGCCTTGGCGCGGGCCACCGCCAGCGCGTCTTCTAACAACACGTTTCAACATTCACAGCAAAGCATCAGAGGGTTCCAGCGCTACCAGAGGTCATTCTGACAGTTAAGACAGAAATCTTACGGCGGGGTGGGGCTCCTGGACCGCGACCGACGTCTCCTTCCCGGGGAATAGGACTTGGACCGAGAGCGCGAGCGGGTCCGGGAGCGGCTTTGTGAGGAGCGTGATCGGCTGCGGCTCCTGCGGGGCCAGGGGAGAGGAGGCGGGTCAGCGCAGCTGCTGAGGAGCCTCAGGCCTTGCATCCCGAGAGGCGGGGCCCTGCCTACCTGGATCTGGAGCGGGAGTAGGAACGGGAGCAGGAACGAGACCTTGACCTTGAATAGGAGCCGGAAGACTTGGAGGACCTCGAGTTGGAGCGGGAGGAGGAGCGCCCTCGGCTTTTGGATCTGCTCCGAGACCTTGAGGGTCCGCTGCGGGGACAGGCCTGGTGAGCTGGAGCCCCTCCATGGACTGCGCCCAGCCCGCCCCAACCCCCAACTCTAAAAGACCCCTGATGTGCCCAGTCCAGGTGCAGACACACCCTTTCACATCAGGGTTGAATACAGACAATGGCAAGCTTCTCTCTCGTACTGGTGTTTTAACTTCGGCCTTGTGGGAAACAGCTCCTGGTGGCTCACAGCACCTTTATCGTAGGGTGCCAGGCCCACGACCCCGGCAGAGGCCAGAGCTGACCCCCCTTTGCCTGTGCCGGGCACGACACCACAGCTCGCCACAGGCAAAGGCAGGGCTTGCTCCCAGCTGACCTAGGACGAGATGCACTGCGGAGGCCTGACCTCCACACAGGTGGTGGGGTGGGCGTGTGCGCTCTTACCTGTTCCTCTTCTCCTGGCCTTTCCTCCGCCGGGCCCGCATTTTCGCTCGGAAGAACTCATAGAGGCCGTTCTGCTCCCAGCCTTCACTGTAAGACATGGGCGTCCCCTGTATGAACGCAAGCCTCTCTCCCACAGGGAACTTGTGAAAAAGTCACCAGGAATAAGCCCTACCCGACAGGCCTTCCCTGTTTCACTCAGGATGCTGAGCAAGGCCCAGCACAGAAAGCACTCGGGTGGTCATTGCCACAGGGCTGCCCCTTCTCAGAGGAGCGACCAGGCCCAGAGGCCAGGCCGCCCGCTGGGAGGTGGAGAGGCTGGACTGCACTCCCAGCGCTTCGTGGCTCCCACGCCTTTCCACGCTGGGCTTTCTCCAAATAGCTGAAGAGGGTCTCAGGGTTATTGTAACTGGGGACGAGGAACTCTTGATTTGTAGGTGGATAGGCCCGTGGCCCCAAACAGGGCAGAGGCGATTTTAACTGAAGCGAGGAGGCCGCTGGAGGAGGGGATCCCGAGGTAAGCTCTTGTCCTGATATCGCTAACGTGGTGAAAGCCTTTTATTTATGGCACACATCACGCAAGCTGGGGGAGAAACGGCATCTCCTAACCACACTTTCTCACCTGGGCCTCACACCGCCCTGGGTGGAAGGTGCGACAGTTCGGAGTCTTTCTTGTGAAGCAAACTGAGGAAGACGGGCCAGGAGAGGGGACAGGGGCCTCCCCTCCCATCACCAGCCCCAGCGCCTGGTCTCCCGCAGCCCCGTACCTGTTCCTGGGTCTGTCGTGTGAGGGAGGGCTGTAGAAGGCCTCCACTGCCGCCAACAGCCTCTCACTGGGTGGCATGGGGGGTGGGAGGCGGATGTCTTTAGGATCCAAAGGCTTGTACTCGTGGTCTTCCAGCTGCAGCAGAGAACACAGCTGTCACTGCTCCCTGCTGGAGCCCATCCAGGGAACTGCGGGGGCTGGGGGAGTCGGGGAGCCGGAGAGCTGGAGAGCCGGGGGCAGGACGCAGTTGCCCTGCGCATCAGAGTGCCTCATCCGGCCCTTCCTGGGAAACCCCACCCTCCTGGAGGGTTTGGCCACACCAGTACTTCAATTCCTAAATGGGGTGGTTGAGGGCTCCATGGAAGTCGATAGAAGCTACAGAATTCTCTCTACAAAAATGCAGAGGAGACGTGGCCTCCAAGCTCAGGTGAAGGAAAGACCCCTGTTAATTCACCGACACGCCGTGGATCCCAGACACCCTCCCCTGCCAACCACCGCCCTGTGCCCAGGCGCCTACCCCAGGGGCCCTGCTATGTGCCCCTTTCTCTGCCCCAGCTCCTACCCCGAGGGCAGCCCCGCTGGCCCCTCTGC